TATATAACAAAGATATTTAAATATGTAACCTATACTTTCTTTTTACAAAAGTAACATGTTTTGATATAACTTCTATCTTAAATATATAACCTATATTTAAAAAAAAAAAACCACATTATCAGTCATGTAAGTAAAAAAATATTGACTCGTATGTCACATAATCTGCTACGTTAACATGATAACCTGTTAATGTTTAAATCGGTTACTCAGATACCTAAATGTCAAAGATATCATGTTTTAGATGCCAAAACGAATATTTTCAAAGTACATTACTTAAAATAAAAATTATATCAAAATACGTTATTTTTTAATACAATTTATCATACATTTTTATTTATCCATATATTATTTATCAAAATACGTGACGACATTGAAAACGTAGCCTTTGGCACAAGCTTTGAGCCAACACTTGAAAGTGGACCAAAACAAACAAATGCTACACATTTTTGTATTGCAACCAAAAATCTAAACTTAAATGAGTTGTTTTTACGATAGTGACACCTTTCTTTTTCCATATTTTCTACTTTTTTCCTGTTTTTGCAAAATTATTTACATTTTTGGTCCATCTCCATATATTAAATAAGGAAATATCGTTGTCTACATGACTCAATTTGTTTTTAATAAGTCATATAATTTGTAATAAACGTGTACGCGTCTTCTCCTATCGTTATTATTTTATTTTATCTGATTTAATTATTAATATCTTCTTTCTAACGTCTTTCTAATATCAATTATTAATATCTGTGATAATTTATTTAATCAAAATTACAGGTATTTTCGTTTTATATAAATCAAGTTTCGTACCGAGTATAAATTTGTTATTTAATAATTTATGTACAAAAAAAATAGCTATATTTGTTTCCAAATTATGATATTGACGAATTGGTGGTTGTTGAGTCAGCCTCCTTTTTTTTTTTTTCTGTTAAAGAACGATAATGGATTTTAAAACTCGTTATATCTCCTGGACTAAACAATATTACCTTCCTTAGTCCTGACTGAAATCGCTCAGAAGGTTCCTTCGTCTGATTCGTAGAAACTGATACGTCTGACCAAAACGCTTGTTAAAAGGGTGTTTTCTCCACCATTTAAAATCAACTTTTTGTAAGAATATTTATTTCTTTTTGACGAGATTTTAAAAAAGCTAGACGTGACTTGTTGTGAGGAAAACTTTGAGGTTGACGTTGCCCCCAATCATATCTTGCTTCATGTTCTAGATGCTCCAAAATGATTATTCACGTTATGTGGGAATCCAATAATTTTGAGGGCAAAATGTAGTTTGGAGGAATTGGGATAATTTGAGGAGGACGTTTTATCAACGTCTTTTACGACACAACGTAATTTATAGCAGATGTGATATAACGTTTTTGATAGAAACTCTTTACTACATATATACCATTAATCCTTTTTCTTGACGAAAATTGTGCGGTGTAATGATTTGTTTGTGTTCTGCATATTCAAGAAGGTTAATTTTAACATCTCCTTTTCAACTGATTCATGTTTTTAATATATCATTTTTTTATTAACCTGGATATCCAATCCGCTATGCAAACCGACTAATTCCAGAGCGACCACCTGCTTTATTGATAGCTCGGAGTCACCACATTTGAACCTCCGTGGCCACAAAGGAATTTTTATTCCTCCTTGAATTTAAACTTGACATTATTTTTTATATTTCATGATCAACATATATTTTAAAACTAGCATAATACGATAACAACTGAAATTATATAATTTTCTATTTATTATTATTATTATTATTATTATTATTATCTTTTTTTTAAATCTTTATATGTTTATTATGTATGATCAATCATATGTTTTTAGCAAGTATTTAGGAACCATAAGTAAGCAATGCCACATGATATAAAGGTCAAACGTTGACTTTCTAATTTATTTAAAAAAAATCCAATATTTATAAAGGAATAAGATAATCAGTATTTATCAAAGTTGACAGAGCAATATATGATAATTTTACAGATAAAATTTACATAATAACCAATTGTATGGCTTTTTCTCGTGAATAATAAAAATGGATGACATATAAGTAGATTATCAAAGGGTTTAAATCTAACATTTAACGTATCACATGACTTTTTTACTTATAATACTAAGTGGGTGTTTGAGATTGCTTATAAAAACAACTTATTAATTTATTCTGGTGTGACATCGGTAATAAACGTTTTTGTGTTTGGATAAACAACTTATATCGGTGTCAAACCGGTAATAAAGAGTTTTTAAAGAAGTTAAACTTTACTAACTTATAATAAATTAATAAACATTTCTATAAAAAAACATAAATTGTTTTAAATAAACAATCACAAACACTCCCAAATAAAAAATGGTACAAAAGCATTAATAAATTAGAGTTAAAAATACAAATACTTATAATTCCGTGAACTCCAAAACCAATAATAGCCCACGTGCAATGAACGTGCTTTTGGGGGGTATATTCCTGGCATAACCTCAACGGTTGACTATTTCACTTAGCCATGGTTAATTAAGTTTTAGGATCCAATTCTAAATACTCATATTATATTTTCTGAGGTTGTTTATTTACCTTTTAATAGTTCTATTAAAAGATAAATGAATTGTTTATTTATCTCTTAATCAGAGGGTTTTAGAACCATTAAAAGACACATTTTTTTTTTGCCAAACAATATTCACCTCTTACCGATTCATAGGTTGTCTCTTAATAGAATTATTTTGTATTTTGGACATCCCTTAACCATTCAGCACCTAATTTCATTGTAAACAATTACCAAACAACTATATTTCATTTTGTACTATATCATGAGAGCCTCTTAATCATTCTGACCACTTAATCATTATGCACCAAATCATTCAGTAACTGCCAAACAACCTCAAACTCTAAATTATTAAGAGATGAATCTTGTTTAGTAAAAAAAAAGTTTGTCAGTAGTTTTAAAACTCTTTGAATGACTTTGTATCCTGAATTTTTCTTAACCATTCAGCGCTCTAATCGATGAGAATCTCTTAATCATTTTGTACCAAACCATTCAACAACTACCAACAACCCCTAAATATTAATTTTGTATTCTCGTTACTTACTTTTGTTTATTTCCCATAAATTTTATCATCTTTTAATATTAATCAAGTTATCCATAATAAAAATATAAGTAATGAAGAAAGAAAGAAAAAACTTGTTATAAAAAGAATATATTTTGAATTATTTAAACCAATAAAAAGCATTGTTACAGAAAACAGTTTAATAAAGTCGTTATTAGCTTAATATTGGTACAGACCGTTTGTTCGATTTTATTTCTTATTAATATTATTATTTGCTTTTTAAAAAATAAAGAAAATTATATAAGTTAATTATTTATGAAATAATTGATATTAAAAACTTAAAAGAAAACCAAAAAGATAAATGAAAATAGCCAAATTTATATTAAATTAATCATATTTGAGGATTAAAAGAGTTATTAAAAAGTATTTTAATAATTAAATATTTTTTTATTAAATCTAGAGAAGCACGTGGATGTGGTGGATTCCTCAACCAAACAAAATATGCAGGAGCTTTTCTAATAATATAATAATAAAATATTTTATATGCTTATTGAATATATGTTTAGTTTTTTATTGTATAACTGATCGAATAAGATACGAGTCTCATCCAATTTATTAGGCTAGAAAAAATGACCAAAATAGTCATTTTATACTTGATGTATTTAAGGCTGTAAACGAACCGAACGAATACGAATATATGTTTGTTCATGTTCGTTCGTTTAGCTTAACCGAACAAACGAACGAACGAAAATAATTGTGTTCATATTCGTTCGTTTAGAAATCAAGTGTGTCCTTGTTCGTTCATTAACATGTTAAACGAATGAACATAAACGAACTGGTTAAACAAACGTAAGTAATCGAATAGGCCTAAACGAACGAACACCAATATTTATCATTCAATTAACTATTATACACCAATTATCCACAGTTTAAACATACACAAAACAATAATCACTCATCAACCATCATTAATATACCAATACTTCAAAGACTTTAAAATTTGAATTCAAACTAAATAAATAAAAGTTATATATAATAAAGTTAATATATAAACGAACGTTCACAAACATAAATGAATTAACAGACTCTTGTTCATGTTCGTTCGTTTAACTAAACGAACAAAAAAATTTGTTCATTTATTAAATAAACGAACTTTCGGCCAAACGATTCACGAATGATTCGCTAAACGTTCGATTCGTTTACAGCCCTAGATGTATTAACAAAATAACCATTTTCTAACGTTTTTTTAACAAAATAACATAGGGGCAATTTGACCATTGGGGGTAATTTGACCAAAATAAAAACTAATTTTCTGATTAAAATATTCTTTTTCAATGCTTTCTTATTTTATGATAAAAATCTTATAATAATAAATATTTGTTAGAATTATACAAATAAAATATACTGAACCTAATTTAAAAGCAAGATCCAGTCAGAGTGCATTAACTTTAACGGCAGCAGTCCCGTTAGCAATGGCTAACCTGTCGGCAGCTACACCACGTGGCAATTGCTTATTCGTTGAATCTCAATACACGGAAATTGGCACATAAATCCAACAAACAAATAGCAGAGTTAATTACAGTTTTGGTCCCTTTAGTTTACACAAAATATAAAAAAATCTGTTCCTTTTTTTTTATTAATTAAAATATCCAATTCGTTATGTTAGTCGATTAATTTCAGAATGATCAACTGTTTTGCAGATAATTTGGAATCACCGCATTTAAACCTCTGTGGCCACAAGAGGATTTTTTTATCTCATTAGATTTGAAGCTGAAATCTCCAAATACTTTCGACCTTTAGAGTCAGATTCAAACCAACCAAACACCACCCTTATGGTTTTCCCTATGTTTCCGTAAAGATAGAAAGGGTCGTTAAGGTGAGGACGATAACCGTAACAAAATACCAACCATAGAGCTACTGATTTAATTATTAAAGTCAATTAAATATCAATTTTTTTGGGTGTGTGGGGGCAAGTGGCAAGTATGAAGCATTTATTATAATTTTATGACTAAATTAACCATGGTTAGATGATGGGTTAAACCGAGTGGGCTTCACCTCTATAAAACACAGCCACCTCTCCACCATCGTTCTTCATTCCATAACGCAAAAGGTGAGGTTGAGAGTCTCCATTTCACACCCACACACACCAACACACACTTAAAATCACACACACTTTCAAGATTTCTTGAGTTTCTTAACTCTGTTTTGTAACCCCCCCCCCCTCTGAATCTCCCCGCTTCTGTTCATCCCTTTCTGTAATCATCTGTCTTTCAACAAAACGAAAAGAAAAAAAAACTGATAATTGATTTGGGTTTGTTTCTTTTGATAATTCTTGTGAACAAAAAAGCAAACTTGATTTTGATTTTAATTTTTTTTTCTCCAGAAAAACGAGAGAGATCAGGTGTTTTCAGAATAGAGATCCAGCTTTTTTATTTGGGTTCTATTTCTAATTTTCTGTAAATCTTCATCACAATCACACCTTTTAGGGTTTATTTTTGTCCCTCAAGGTTGTTGATTCTTACACTTTTTAGTATTTGGAGAAAAGGGTTTTGATTATTTGTTGAAAACCCCTCTATTTTTCTCTTAATTTTCCTGGTTTTTTCTTGGGAAAATCTTGAAATTATCACCTGTTTTGTTGATTTTGGTAAACAAAAAAAGGTGGGTTTTGTTTTTCTTTGATTATTTCTTTGTGAAAATTAAAAAAAATGGCTTCTGCTACAATGGAGTTTTGGAATATTAATGATTTCCAGCAGAGAGCTTCAGGAGGTCTCTTTAATGGCGGTGAGCTCATGGAAGCACTTGAACCTTTTATCAAAAGTTCTTCAGATTACCAAAACACCCTTCCTTTCTCTTCCCCTTCTACTTCATATCCATACCCTTCTTCGTCTTTTTCTACTTCTTCATCTACCCATCAAGAATCCGGGTTATACCCTGATGGTTACACCCACGGGTTCTCGACCCAAGATCCCTTTGGTTATGAACAACCCGTTTCATCATTTGGGTTGAACCAACTGACGCCGTCTCAGATTCATCAGATCCAAGCCCAGATCAATTTACCCACCTTTAATAATTACCTGGCTCCGAAACCCGTGCCCATGAAGCAAGTCGGGTCACCTCCAAAACCCACGAAGCTTTACAGGGGTGTGAGGCAAAGGCACTGGGGAAAATGGGTCGCCGAGATCCGTTTACCCAAGAACCGGACCCGGCTTTGGTTGGGGACGTTTGATACAGCCGAGGAAGCTGCGTTGGCTTATGATATAGCTGCATACAAGCTGCGTGGTGACTACGCGCGGCTCAACTTTCCTCACTTGCGTCATAACGGCTCTCTTATCGGCGGCGAGTTTGGTGACTACAAGCCACTCCACTCCTCCGTCGACGCTAAGCTACAGTCGATTTGCCGGAGCTTGGCCGAGGGAAAGAGCATCGACGTCGGAAAGAAGAAAGGTTCACGGCGGTCATCGGCTGCGAAAGCACGGACTGTGGTGGAGCAGCCGGAGGTTGTGAAGGTTGAAGGCTCAGAGAGCGACGGTTCCGGCGGGTCGTCGCCGTTGTCGGAGCTGTCGTTCCCGGAGTTCACGGAGGAGGAAAGCGCGTTGTGTGGATCGGATAATTTGATATTGGAAAAGTATCCGTCGTATGAAATCGATTGGGGTTCTATATAGCGTACTCGTAGTTTCTGTAGTTCAGTTACAACTGCCGTTATTATTGCAACTGGCAGTATTTGTTGTAGGGGTATATTTTGTAATTTGTAGGGTCTAGGAGGGGTTGTTTGTAAATCTAGAAAAGAGGAGGTGCTGCAATGGAGTTTTTGGCAATTGCAGAGCTCACTGCTTTTCTGTAGTGGGTAGTTACGTTTTTTTAATTTCTTTAGGTTTTTTATTCTGTAATTTTCTTTATTTTTAATTTTCTAAGTTTAATTATTATGCCTTCTTCCTTTTGTAGAAAATACGAGTGTTTAATGAATTTCTTGGTTATCTTTTAATATAAATGTTGATCATAATGAATGAACTCTGATAACTTTTTATAGATATTCATATCATAATAAATAAACCTTTTAACATTTCCATGCATATCTTAAGGGGTGTTTGAAACAGCTTATATTTTTCTATAAAAGTTTTTATCAACTTATTATAAGTTAGAATAATTTTAACTTATTTAAAAACAAAACTTTTTATTATCGGTTTGACACTAAAAAATGCTTATACTTGATAACCATAAACTGTTTAACAAATCCTAATAGAATTCTCACATGAACAAGCTACCTCAAACAATGTGCATCATCTACTTCTACAAGTGGTCTAATAATATATAACTCACTAGTGGATCCATAAGCTTCAATATAAATATACGTTTTCACGAAAAATACCAATCAAGTAAGCATTATTTACAACGTTTTTCGAGCATGAATGTGCGTACTCCAATGCACCTTATAGGTCTACATCCATACATGAACTTGCGTACTCATGTTATGTTTTGATTACCTGATTTTTCGATTTCTAAATAATAAGTTAAACCATAAGGGTAGCATCTGATTAGTTTGAGTTTGACTCCAAATGCCAAAAGTACCAGGAGGTCCCAGGTTTAAATCCAAAAAATAATGAAAATCTCCTTATGGCCATGGGCTATCTGCAAAGCAGATGGTCGCCCTGAGATTAGTCGGCTCGCATAACGGATTGGATATCCAAGTTAATCAAAAATAATAATAATAATAATAATAACAACAAGAAGTTCTGTAATGATCACAAAACGTTTCTCTTAAAATTTTACCAACGCCCATCAATCACGCATTCACACTTTACACTTACTGAGCAAATTGAACAAATTTATAAAATGATGATACCATACAACTACACTAACCAACATGTATTCGATCATTGAAACGTTAGCTACAATCTTGAAATTAGTCTTGATGATTAACCATATCCTAAAAAAACATATAACTCATCGTTTTTCATGGTTAAAACACTTAAATTCTTATAAATTTTTTGAAATGGTCATTTTTTTTACAAACAGAAGAGGAACATATGCACAAAAATACTGATTTTGTATGTATGTATATAATATATACATATACGTACGTGTATATAAAGAGTTTCAAATATACAAATAATGTAAAGATAATGATTATAATAAATGAACTCCGATCATCTTTTATAAATATGTGTATATATTTTAATATAAAGATTTGTATATATAAATTATTTTGTTTTTTCTTGCCACAAACAGATTCCAAATTCAACTTTGTATGGACATGTTCACACCATGAAAGAAGAAAAGGACATTTGGGATGAAAAGTCATCAAGAATCCCTATCTTATTCATCATCACTCAATATATTTTATTTATTTATTTATTTTTATCAAATAAATAAATAGTGAAAAGATAAGGTGTGAATGTGATTGCTAACTTCTACCAATGAAAAATAATATCAACATTTATTGATTTTCAAGAAATTCTGAAAACGCGTTTGTTTTTGTTATCTTCATAGAATATATATGTTTTATTTATATTATATTATAAAGCATTTGATAAAAAAATTTAAAAATTATTTTTTATGTATAAAGTACTGTATATTGATACATATTACTTAAAATTCAATATTACAAGTAAATTATGCATAAGTACAACTTATTAAAGCTTCATGTTTGAATTTGTATAACTAATTGCGGATAAACATAATCAAATAGA